AAAATGACTTAATTTTATAAATCTTAGAAAATAGGAGTTCAGAATAAAAAAAAAGGAACACTTGACTTGTGTTTAGCCTCAGGAAAAATCCAAGAACATTTTACAAAATTAATTTTAATTAAAAACATACTTATTTTTAATCTGATGCTCATATTCACTTTCAGAACAATCTTGGCTGGATGTGATGGTATGTACCTGAAACCGTAGTGCTCAGGGGCTGAGGCCTGCCTCAGTGCCTGCCTGTCTGAACCTTGGTGCTCAGGAGGCTGAGGTTGTGGGACTGTGAATGTAAGGACAGCTGGCCAAAGACACCCGCTCAACAAATAAAAACTATTAATTAAGACTGATGGTTAGCACACTAAATAATTAACACATCTATTTTTGAAACATCCGTAAAATGTAGAAATGAAAGGCTTGTAATTGTAGCTAATAGTAACTACCAAAAGTTGGCTAGTGGCAACTGCCACTGTGGAAATAACTTTTTGCTTCTTTTAAAGCTTTTACTATTTTTCAGGACATGTAAATGAAACATATCAAGCAGTTGGAAGGTAAGGCTCTATTGTATTCTTAAAGGCAGGGTACGACGATTCAGTTTAGGCTGGCCTCAAACTCAGCCCTCCTGACTCCCAAATGCTGGAATTTAAGCCCTGTGTTCTTAAAATAACTGGAAATAAACCCAAAACTCATTGGATCCCATTTGTTCTCAGTGAAAATGGCCTCATTCAAGTACAAAGATTTGTTTGTGAGTCAGGTTCTAAAGGTCAGCAACTTAGAAATCATGATAAAACCAAGACTGTAAAGAGCTCAACTTTTGACAGAGTAATGGCCAAGCATTTGCCAAGCCCTCTAGGAGCAGGGCGGGGCAGCTAACCTGGCTGGGGAATGGTGAGACTGGGTGAGGAAGGAGATGAGCTAAGCCCTTTAAAAGAACAGCACTGGAAAGTGGTTTACTGTAAAAACAGAACAAAAACTTACCTTCTTAATTAGTTTCACTCTCTCTGGTCTCTGAAAGGTCTTACTTACATCCCTGGTTGGCCTCAAACTCAAAGCAATCCTCCTGCCTCAGCCCCTGAGCACTACAATTACAGGTACGCACCATCACATCCAGCTCTGCCTGTTCTTCTCCAGGCACAGCTCCATCTTTTGGTTTCAGTCACTGTCCACATAGCACGGTGGCAGCTGACAGCTTCTTTTCGTTATTTCACAACTCTAGCTAATTAATACCTTAGAGTACGTGGGGCTGCGGAGATGGCTCGGTGGTTAAGAGCACTTCCAGGGGACCCAAGGTTCGATTTCCAGTAGCCACATGATAGCTAACAACTGACGCTAGCCAACTTCAGTTCCGGGGATCTGATCCCCTCTTTTGATCTTCTCAGGGTCACACCTGTGCTACACAGGCATACAGGAACTTAGCAAGTCTTTGTCTAAAAGAGCCCAGAGCTATGAACACAGAAGAATTATGTCTCTAGTGGAAGGAGCTGTAGGTGCCAAACTCAGGAATGGACAGTTAGTCACCGTGTTTACCTAATTCAAGGAAAGTTACTAGTGAAAATAAAACCAGCAGAGCTAGCATGTGAAGGTGAAGACAAAAGTGAGCCTCTCCGTATGATTTCTAGCTGACATCTCCACCCCAGCTACTGCTCAACTGTGGACTCATGACTAAAACACCTCACTCCTTTCTTAGCAGGCAGCAAAGAGGTTCTCATAAAACATCAATGGGAAGTCAGTGGGGGCCATATTTTCAATACCTCCCTTCCATCTAAGAATCTCTGGGTAAAGCTGAAGTCATTTGTGCGGCTTAGTAAATACTAATTTCATGTACCGATTGCACAAAACTCTATGGAAATTCAACTTATTTTTCTTTAGTTTATATATTTTTTTAAAGCTACAAATTAGTTAAGATTTCCCAGTTAAGTTAATATCCTGATTAGTGTTTAAAAATCATAGCTGTACACCTTTAAGACTTCTTAAAACAGTAATACAACAGCTTAGCAAAATACTCATTCTAAGTAATATCTGAGAAAATTAGTTAGTAGGTCCTTTATGACCAAAATGCATTGGGCAGAGAGGCTAAAGAGAGAGAAAAATGCAGTCATCACTCACAAAATAAATTTCAAAGGATTTCAAGATATTATATGCTTTCATGACTTTTTTAAACAAAAAGTTTTGGCCATTACTAAAAACAATTGGCCTCATCTTTGGATAATCTATAAAACACATGGAAGAGCCAAAAGGAGCTAGTAACATTTTAAACTATATTACAGAAGAAAGACTGAATAGCCGATGTGGTCCATGCCATCCTAACAGTAGGGAGAGACGAAAAGGAGGACTGCTATGAATTCAAGGCCAGCCTGAACTATAAAGGGAGTGTCAAGGTTAATGCTGCCCATCAGCTTAGCAGATCTAGAACCACTAGGGGGGAGAGGCTTTGGGCAGGCCTGTGGGTCTTCATTAGGTTACATGAGGTGAGAAGATCCGATCTAGGAGTAGGCAGCATCATTCTATGGACCGGAGGGCAGCGCTGGACTGAAGAAAAGGAAGAAGGTAAGTAGAGCATGTAATCCATCGTTCTCTTCCTCCTGTTGCCCTAACTCCCTCACCATGACTATGACTGGAATGTGAGCCAGCACAAACCCTTTCTTCCTGAACGAATTTTGCCACTCCAACAGGAAAATAGTACAGGTGTTTTCACGATAGCCAGTACCATACAGCCAGATCCTACTGCAAATCAAACAAGAACTAAAAAACATTTTATAAACAAAGCAAGCTTCTAAAGAGCTAATTTTATATGAGAATCTAACTTTTATTAGATGCACATCAAATTTAACAGTGACTTAAAAGCTATGTGCAGGTCTGATCGGCTCCTCGGCTTCCTGCAGCACTCATGGTGTGTGTGTGTGTGATCTAATGGGCTTGCTTCACACACTGTTTCCATGTCTCATATTTCTAACTACTTTTTTTCTGGTTGTTTCCATTACCACTGTAAAAACTATTCCTTCATTTGGTATGAAAGGTGCTAGAAAATGCCTAATAGAAAAAGTAATTTTGAGATTGGGCTGAAGGCAAAGACAGAAAGCACAAGAGACTCAGTACAAAATGTTATTAGGACGCAGGCTCACTTGTACTTGGCTATATTACACATTTAGCCACAATTAGCTAATATTAATAGGCAGACTACTTGCCTGTTATTGTTAAGCTGTAACAGTTGAAAACTGCCTAGATACAACACACAGTTCAACTAACAACAAAAACTCAAAAGCAATATAATTAAATTTAGAGGAATGTGAGCCAAATTTGATTTTATAAAAACTGCATTAAAATTTTTTCAGACCCAGAAAGACAAATATAATATGTACTCACTCATAAGTGGATATTAGATGTAAAGCAAAGGACAACCAGCCAACAGGCCACAACCCCAGAGAACCTAGGTAACAAAGAGGACCCTACGAGAGACATACGGACTTGTCTGGGAAGGGGAAAAAAGACAAGACCTCCGGAGTAAATTGGGAGCATGGGGGGCAGGGAAGAGGGGGGAAGCAGAGAGGGGAGAAGGGCCAAAATGTATATATAGCTCAAAACAAAACAACCAAAAAACAAAGCCAAAACCAAGATAAAACAAAACGAAACAAAAAAATGGGTATTTCAAAGGAGCCCCGACAAAAAGCAGCAGACTGTCCATGTGAGTATCTCCCTAAAAAGGCTGTTACAGCAGACCAGCTACATCTGGTCTTAAACCTGTTTAAATCAAATCAAGCTTTTAAAACTTGCTGCTTAGCGTTTTACATATATAAGGGCTACCTTACATGTATGAAATAGAAACACAAAACAACTCAACTAAGAAAGCAAAGAGCATGCTGGACTCAGCAAGCTCACTTTGAACACTGGGAACCTCAGGTCGTCAGGCTGAGGGAGTAAGTGTTAAATCTGGCTACCACAAACATTAGTATTTTAGTAATATGCTGCTCTGTTTTTCCTCTAAATTTATAAATAAGTTTACACTTGTTAGAAATAAACTATCTCGTCACATGAAAGCATTACTGTTTAAGTCTTACCAATAGGAACACCCTAAACAGTTCAGCAGGACAGTGAAGAAAGGGGACCCAACAAGGAAATGGGACACGGGCTTTACACACCCTGCTTTGTGTTGGTGGAGAGCACTGAGACAGCTGTTACTGAGCCACACCTCAGCCCCCAGGCACTTTTATACAAACCCTCTTCTCAGGCGCTTCTACACTGACAAAACCAGTATTACTCTCCTGTTTTTGCTTGCCAGCCTAGCCTTTAACGGCTGAGCCATCTCTTCAGCCCTAAAAACAAAGATTGAGCAAGTTCAAGCCAGGCATAGTGGTGCTTGCCTGTAATCTCAGTACCAAGGAGACTGAGGCAAGGGGGCAGTGAGTTCAAGTCCATCTTGGGCTACCAGGCATCAGGGTAAATTCTAGAGTGAGACTGTCTTCAAATGGCCAACACATCCACACATCCAAACAGAACACTCTGAGCACTTATTTCAATAGTGGGTCCAAAAAAACTGATTTCCTGGAGCAGCGCTTTTTACCCTTGACTGACTTCTCAGGTAGGAAAAATAAAGTTATGAATATCTGGAATTTCCAGTAACAGATATGCAAGTCAACAGTTCTGTTAACAACATTTGTGCCCAACACTATGCACCATGCTACTCTCCCAGATTTCTTTGTACAACTGGCTTATTTTCACAAATAAACCAAAGTGTAATCCATTGCTCCTTGCCTTCATTTATTTGGTCAGAGATAAGGAAGACTAGCTCATGGGGACACAGGCGCGCTGTGGTGATTCTGTGGTACATGTCCTGCCGTCCCCTGCTCTTGATGGACAGCCACAGTGACATGGATTGTGGTGTGTAAGAACACTTTTCCTGGGATTGATCTGGTACAGCAGGCAGTGGCTGACTGAGTTTTACATATGCGTGAACTGGTGAAGCAATCCATGTTTTCTCTAAAGGAGGAGACAACAGAAAACTGTACCTTTCTGGATTCCAGCTGTGCTTCCTCCTGACAGCACCCTCTGCAGACAGGGTCCAGCTGAAGCAGGTTGAACTGTCCGAGGAGATCACAGGAGCTGCAGAGCAAGTTGCTGGAGAAGCCCAACTCTCTGCATGCCTCTGATGAGAACTCAGCCCCAAGAGCAGACACCTGAGCAAGAAAGCAAGGACTAAATCCCAGGTTTACATGAAACTCCCTAAAAAGGGAAAACAGGTGGTCGACGCTGAGCACATGGGAGACCAATTTGTAAGAACGTTTGAACTCTACAGCTGTATATATTTGGTCTATTGTTTGTTTCTTGATTTCTCATATAGTCCAGGCTGGCCTTGAACTAGAAGATGACCTTAGCTCTGATCCTCCTGTCCATTCAAGTGCTGGGTTTACAGGCATGTACCACAACACTGGACCTGACATCTACTTCAGTGAAAATGTGGATTCACAAAAAATACAAAATATGTGCATATTACACATCTCTTATTAATATCCAGTAACTTATTAAAAAGGATTTTTCTTATACAGAAAAAATTCTTACTTCATTTTAAGGACTTCGTACCTATTTATATGGGTTGAGGGAAAAAGCATTTACTTACCTGCAAACACATCCCCATGGTGGGTGTGGGTAGTGGGAGGAATGGGTCCAGGGAAGCAGAAAAAGGAGATCATTTCCTAGATGTGGGATCCCAGGGAAACTAGCCTCCTTAAGCTTTAATGTCTGTACTGCTAAAGCAAGCCTGCAATACTCTAGACAAAAGAGACCACTTTAGAAATTCAAGGTCTGAGTTCAATCCTGAGCATCACAAAAATCTGATATTCAATTAAACCGTTTTTTAAGATTATTTTTATGTGCATTTGTGTCTAGGTGTGTATGTGTAGCATGGCTAGAAAATTTCGTGGGACCAGAGTTACAGACTGCTGTGAACTGTCAGATACCGGTGCTGAGGACCATACTCGGGTCACCTGCGTCCTCTGGAAGAGTAGCACGTGGTCTTGGCCACTGGTGTGGTTGGTTTGAAAATATCCCCTATAAGGCTTGGGTATTTGAAATTTGCCTGGTTGGGGGGGGTGTTTGGGGGTACTTGCTGGAGGAAGTATGTCAGTTGGGGCAGGCTCCAAGAGATCATAGCCTAGCCCTACTTCCAAGTTTGATATCTCAGCTTTTGCTTGGTCTCCCTGCTGTGTCTGTCATTACGGATCCCTGGAACTAAAATTCAAAACACCCTTCTTCTGTAAGAATATATATATATATATTCACAGGAACAGAAAGTAACCAAGCCAACTGCTGAGCCGTCTCTCCAGTCCCCTCTTTACTCTCTTGAGACAGGTCCTCACTAAGTTGTCCAGGCTGGTCTTGTACTCAGTCTGTCGCCCAGAAAGGCTTTAACCCTGCCATCCTACAGTGTGACTGGTTTTACAGGCCTGGCCTATGTACTTAGGTGTACTTTCCTACTTTTTGGGACATTGCAATTTTATGCAGGCTTCAAATACCATTTTATTGGATGACCCCTTTTCCTGAGCTCAGGCTTCCAAAGCCTCATTTGATTTTCATTAGATGCTGCAAATTCAGAATTTCCTATGATGGAATGTAGCTTTGCTTCTGTAAGTCTAGCCCTCCAGATGTGGTAGGCATCTTAGGAAAATGGAACTGCTTCCTGGTCAACAATGTGCCAGGCCGAAGCCCTCTAGGTTCTCAAACCATTCCACAGCTGTAACAGTTCCACAGTCTGTTTCCCGAGGAGTTCTCAAATCTTTTACAATTTTAAGACATTTTAATTTCATAATTAAAAAAAAAAAACCCCTTAATTCCTCTTAATGCAGACACCTGTGGAGGTGCTGGGAATTGAACTGGAGTCCTCTGAGAGCAGCGCATGCTCTAACTGCTGAGCCATCCCTCTAGTCCTCTAAGGCTTTTCCTGCCTCTGTAGCTTACATCAGCAGTGGGATCCATCTCTCCTCACTCTCTGGCTCTTGCCCACTTTCCAGTCATGAATTCCTGTGGTCCTGAAGTGTGTGAGACTAGTCCTCACACCGCTGTTCCTATTTTCCTTAAGTCTAAAGAGAGAACCTAATCAGCGCCAGGCTTCTAGGTGCTCTCTCTGTAAAATCCGTAACTTACTCACCTTTAGCCATTGCACTTTCCTTTACTGAGAAACACAAGCCCAGAACTATTCAACAACACTACACTATGTAAACCTAGGGTTTTTTTTTTTTTTTTTTTTTACTAACTGTCAACACATGATTCTTATGACAAGCATGAAGTTATTTCTATTCCTAGCACCCATGTTAGCTCTTGTTTGTTAAATGATCCAGTAAATGCCAGTTTCCAATAGACCAAACGTCAGACTGACTGAATCTGGGTCAGTCTTCTACAATAAGAAAAGGTCTGGAAGCTTCTAAGGGCCAGATAGCAATTTCACTTTGGTAGCAAAATGGTTTCTTTCATACATACTCAAGTCAGCCATTGCCAAACAAAAGCAATCACAGATAATACAGACACGAGTGCTCCAATAAATGACAGGGTTGGCTGAAATCGGCACACCAGCTAGTCTGTCAGACTTCTTTTAAACTATTTGGCAAGATTAAAGTCCATTGACATTGTTCAGTGAAAATACTGCTAGTACGTTCCCACAAAATGCTGACTATCTCATTGGTGGTTATCAGTCAATATTCTAATCAGACATCTCATAAGTATTTAACCCTACCTTTAAGAGAATGTACATAATCTTCAAAACTGATCAACTATCTCAACAAAGTGGGAGGAACCTGTGAGTTAACTAGAAGTTTTCCGTGATCAATTCTCTAGTTAGGTACAAGACACTTGTAATTTCCCACCAGTAAAATGATCGATCAGTAAGACCAATTATACAGGGTAACTTGAAAATAGAGACAGCAACATGGCAAATTGGAGATAGCTGCATTAATATGTACATATCACCCCACATGTTCTTACAATGTGACTGGCAGTCCTCCAACATAGAACGTGTATGTGTGTGTGTGCGCACACACACCCACACCCACACATGTATGCCAGCACCCAAGTTGAGTTGTCTGCCTGGCTGCACCCTCCACCCCCAAGCATCAACTTTGGGACTTAAGTCACCACACTGAAAAAAAGCCTAAACCAGAGACAGCATGGACAGAACCATGCAGAGATCAACTAAGACCTCCAGCTGACACTGCTTTCAACTACTGAACATTCGAGTGAAGAACCTTCAGATTTCAGACTACAGCCTTTCAACTGAGGTCTGAGGGACCATGGAGCAGACGAGCCCCTGCTGTGCCTTCTGAAAACTGATAACCCACTGAACACGAAAGCAAAATAAAGTGTTTTACACCACTGCATTCATGTGAATTTATTTTGCAGTCAGTCAGTAATTGAAACACAATAAAATCAAATTCACTTTGGAAACTGCAAATTGCTTAAGAACGTGCAGAAACTGGGGCTGGGGAGTTAGATGGCTTAGTGGGAAAAGTGCTTGCAGAACAAACATGAGACCTAAGTTTGGGTCATCAGCAACCACCTAAAAAGCTAGGGGCTGCAATGTACATCTATAACTCAGCCCTAGATGGAGGGTGCAAAGCCAGCTGGGTCCCAGGACCTCACTGGGGTAGAGTGGGTTAAAGGGGAGGAGCTCTAGATTCAGTGCAGAAACCTTTTTCCAAACATTGGGTCAAGAAATTTTAGAAGACCTTCAACAGACATCGACTTTTGTCTTCCACCTGTACACAAGTGCATGGAGTAGTGTAACCCATTCCCACGAATTACACCCACACCATCCTTTCATCAAACTTACTCTCAGGAAACCTGTGGGTTTCAAATTTGGAGACAAACAAATGGACGGGGTTAAAGAGAATGAATAGTAACATAATGAACGCCAACAGCATGGCCATTCCTGGAAGTTCTTAAAAACCACCAGATACTGTGCTAAGTACATTGTCATTCCATTTACTATAACTACACTTAGGAAGGAAACAGACACAGAATGGTAAGAAAACATGTCTAAGACTACACAAAGAAAGAGATTTTAATCCTGGGAAAAGGGAGATGGCTTGGTTGGTAAAGTGCATGCCACATAAACATGAGTTTGGGCACCGAGGGATGGATGGTCCCTGGAGCTTGCTGGTGACCTTATCTAGCCACACACTGGCTCTCGGCTCAGTAAAAGACCCCTTTTCCAAAAGGGAGCGAGCACTAGATAACACCTGATGATTCATCTCTGGTCTCTGCCAAGCACATGTAGCTGCATACATACATACACACACACACACACACACACACACACACACACACACACACACACACGAGAGTCTAATCCTAGCCAGCCTTTAAAACTTCTGTAATGGTCTGAATGTGTACATCCTCACCTAAACCCATGTGGTCAACATCTCATTCCCCAATACAGTGTAGGGAGGTGAGGTCTGGTTAGAGGTATGGAGGCTCTTATGAGTTGATTCATGCAGTTCTTGTGTGGGGAGGTTGCTACTGCAGTTTTCCCTTTCTCCACTAGGAGTAAAGTCAGGGCGCTCATCCGATGTAGCTGTTCAGTCTTGTACTATGCAGCCTCAAGAACCGTGCACCAAAATAAGATTCTCAGTAACAGGAAAAATACTGACAACTGTAATTGTGCTACCCATGGTTCACAAGATACATGGGAAAGATACTGAACTGTGGCCAGACGGTGATGACTGTTTTGGACTCCAGGACGCACAGTTCATTCTACTGTTTTTCACAAAGGATGACTGTGAATATGGACATGTGTATGATCTGAACAAAGGACCGATACCAGTTCTGAGCAGCTTTATTAAAGCGCTCCTTTAGGCTACACTAAAATGCTCTGTTCTAACCTTTACACATGCTCAGAATATATTTCTAGGTTATGTCATCTGCTGTGAGCCCAGCTAAGCTAAGTGTGCACTTCCACTAACTTAAAACCACGGCTACTTAGCGGTGCAGACACTAAACAATTCTCAAACTTGTTTAAGCATGAGCTAATCTCCACTTCAGGGGTCAAGAAGTCCACAGTACGGTCCCCGCCTTTGATTCCCAGCATGCCAAGTGCACACTTTGCTTGGTCTTTCCCCCTTTTGCAAAATCTAAGCATCTGTCAAACTTCTTTCTGTATTCCCGTAACCCGGCACACCCTTTTCATTGCCGAGGCTTTTTTCCTCATAAACACCAGGCATCCTGAAAAGTGAGTGTCACTACAGGGAGTTGTGACGTCTGAGCTTAGTGAGGGTGGGTGACCCGTATGTGTGAACCAGGGTTCTGGGCAGGCACCGTTTTATTTATTTAAACTCTGGGACCCGATTATGGCTCAGCATCACCCGCAGAAGCTGCAGTCACATTAATGCCAATGGGAAGCAGGGAGGACTGGGAGCATTTGCACTGCCGAGGCTGCAAGTGAACAGACATGGTACAGAGAGAACTAAAAGCAAAATGCTCCCTGTGCTCCCCTCGGTGAGGGAGAGACACAGGGTAAACCTAACATGGGGTAGAAGCTAGTATGACAGACTAGGAGGAGAAATTACAGTCTGTAACTTTGCCTTTTGCTTCTTCTTTTGAGACAGTCTTGTTATGTAGGCTAGGCTGGACTGGAGCTTGTTATATGTAGCCCAGGCTAGTTTCAAATGTCCGCTCCTCTCATTTCATCCTCCAGAATGCTGTGACTATAAGCAATTGCTGAGACTATGGGAGGCACCAGCAAGCCCGGCTGACTTCCTAAGTCTGGAGAGTAAATGAAGTTAAGCACTGCATTCTAGCTAAACACTTCACAAGGAACAACAGGAGACAATTAAAAATGAGAGTAAATTAATCTGCTTTAGATTATAATTATTAAAAGTTAAAATTAGAAAACATGTTTACCTAACAGTTTGATTTATTTATTTAATGTGAGTCCTCTTTCTGGTTGTACGACTATGCCAGAAGGGATCAGCTCCCACTATATGTAGTTGTGAGCCACTGAGCCACCATGTGGTTACTGGGAATTGAACTCAGGACCTCTGGGCAAGTAACCAGTGCTCTAAACCACTGAGCCATCTCTCCAGCTCCCAGAAAAGGCTTCTTAATGTTTTTTTTCTTTCTAAACTAAATACCATAGTATCATGGAGAAGGGGGGGAGATACTGATTTTGGTTATAAAAGATGGCTTGGAGAATACCTAAATGGAATGCTATAGTTGTGACTAATGACCTATGGACTTATTTGAAGATATCATTGTAAGATAGTGTGAACTTACTTGTGGCTCTCATCCGCAGAAGGGAATGAAGGTGATAAGAAGTTTCAGTCTAGTATATACTTAGTATCAAGGATCATGTAATTACCAGGAAAGTTTCTGAGTGTGAACCTAGTTCTTTACATCCTTTTCCTCTAGATTTCAACATAACACTTGCATCTGCACCATCAGATGTCAATGACACACCAGCCAATGGCTGCTAGTGACAGAGCTATAGAAAGCTCACTGGAATAGGTCTATAGTAACCTTCAAGATCTGTTCATGTTATCAGTCCTTAGCTTGTAGATGCCCTAGACCACTCATGAAATGTTACTTAGCTCTGAAGGTATGGCATCCCTCTCTATGTATGTCAGTACAGATAACAGATAATCAGGGACTGGCCTTTCTTTAATGTGAGCTCAGTGGGAAAATGTCAAATTTTAAGAAACTATGATAGATTGGACTAAGAGATCAAGTAGTAATTGCCACTGACACACAGACTGGCTCCCAGCTTAGTTTGAGTACAGAGAGATTAATTTCCTGGAGGATGTGATTTCTTTGCTGAAAACTGAAGGGTGGCAAGATGGCTCGGTGGGCAAAGGTTCTTGCTGCCAAGCCTAAGGACCCGAGTTGATTCCTAAATCAAACTTTAGACCCAAGCGACAGAAGGAGGGTTAGATGGAAAGTAGAAGACAGTCACATTTTTATGGGCAGGAGAGAGCTTCTGAGGGAGAACCAACTGCATGAAATTTGCAGGAGCGAGTACTCTTTACATCATTTTCTTCACCAAGTGGAAGAAGCAAACGCCGGGGAATAAGCCTGGTAGATAACTGGATGCCCTGCTAAGGGACACTTAAAGACAAAATATCTTAAAAGCAAGCGGGAGTTTTCAGTACAACAGATTTAATTTCAGAAAAGTTCTCAACCTGTGGGTCACAACCCTTTTGAGGCTGAGTGAACCATGTGAAAGATATTTACATTACAGTCCATAACAGTAACAAAGTTATAGTTATAAAGTAGTAACAGAGGTATTTTTATGGTTAGGGGTCACCACAGCATGAGGAACTGCTTTAAAGGGTTGCAGCATTAAGAACCACAGAACCACCGTTATAGATGTAGTAGGTGGAATTAGAAAAAAATTAGACGTGAAAACCAGTTAATGAAGCTCTTAAGGTAATTCCAGGTACATGGGTATACTGGCCTGGTTGGAAACAAAATTAGGTGACTGGCTTGGAAAGTTTTATGGTTTTAATGACTAATTTGAACCAAAGAGTGGAAATACAGAGAATTTAAAGGAACATATTTTTTGGCTTGGGCAATTAGGAAACTGGTAAAGGTGATTTTTATTTAGATTCTCAATATAGAAATAGGCAATACAAGCTAGGTGTTGGTGGCACACGCCGTTAATCCCAGCACTCGGGAGAACTCTGTGAGTTTGAGGCCAGCCTGGTCTACAGAGCTAGTTCCAGGACAGGCTCCAAAGCAATAAAAGAGGGGGGGGGGGAAAGAAAAGAAGCAATTCAAAGAAAAACTAGGAGGCTATTATTTCTTATAAGAAAGGTCTTGGGGTGACTGGAAATTTTAACAATTGATTTTCAGACATATTAGGAAGTAAAAATTAGTAAGGCTTGGTAATTATCAGTATGTGGGGTGAATACAGTAAGGAAGGAGTCAGAAATGACATCTGAGCTTTGCGTTAGACTTGGTGGGTGGCCACTGTGGCACACAGACATAAACTTCCTCTTCTGGTCCTGGTCCGAACACTGCTCTGCAATGCAACTGTGTCATTTCTCTTATGGCTGTGGCTACTTCCCTGTGGCTTTCTCTGACAAGTATAATGTGATGGAGTTTGGATCTGTTTAGAGGATCTTGCTTTCTACTTTTAGTTGTCTTCCAGGAGGGATATGTGATTTCCATGGCAAGGTCTTAAGTGCACTGTAAGCGTTTGCTCTTCTGGGATGTTGTCCTGAGACTGTGGTGAAAAATAAGTTTAGTCTAGTGGGATATGAGAGGTTAGCAGCAGAGTAAATAGTCCAAGCTAATGACGCTGATTATGAACTATGGCTTTAGATTTTCAAATAGCTCAGACAAGTGCATTCAAGAGGGATGGTCAAATTTGTAAAACACTGATTTCGAAGGGTTTTGTTTTCTTTTTATATCTTTGTGGGGGGTGTTTACTTACAAAGCGATTGTCTATTGAAGTTTAGAAGGTAGCATGAAACATTGCTTCTTTGTAACTTGTGGTAATTCTAAGAAATTAAAATGATCTATGATGGGAAGGTAAACAAACCATTAATCTCTAGAGTCTACAAAGTTTAAAAGGATGTTTCCATTGGTCTTAAGTAATTTCTTAGGTACCAGGTGCCTGAATAACAACATTGTATTACAATGTCAGAAATCTACCCTTTGGACAAAGTAACCAAAGCAGAAACAATGTTTGCAAAATTACCCACCCCTTTTCTCCCGGTATGAAAAAGTCTAAGTACTTACAGACCTATGGTATAATCTTTCCAAATCATGAACAAAATACCCCAAGCAGAAGGCATGTAAATATGGATTACAAACCTCCATAAAGGTTTGACAACTAATATAGTTGTTTCATAATTAGCTAAGTAAGTCAAAATTAGCAGATTCAGAATCGATGCATGTTTGTTAATGAAGGAAAACTCCCGTCTGGACCAAAACCACGAAGCTGTCCCTTTAAGATTTGGGAGTGTAGTTTCCACTCCTGTCCCACTACGAGAAACTTCCCTCCTTTCTAAGCATTGCCGACTTTTTGTGCCCACTGCGTTCTTGGCAAACCGACTTTAGCTGCCTGGAGTGAGAAGCCCATGGCCTCTCTATAGAGCCCCGGCTGGAAGTGTCTGCCACGTTTCATTCCGGATGGAAGCGGCCACTGAGGAAGGCCATTCCAAGGCCGGGCCCCTGCGAGGCCGCGGCTCTGACCCTCCTCCGCCATCCTCCGACCGCCCCGAGGCAGCCCCACGGGCGATCCGCACTCACCGCTTGAAACGCCGTCGCCAGCAGCAAGCGCAGCCCTACAGCGGGCCGCAGCCAGCCTCCCTGCGCGGCCGCCATCCCTGCGCTCCCCCGTCAATCTTCAGGCGCCCGAGGACCCCGTGTCCCGGGGACGTCCACTGCGATGCCTGATGCGAGACCTGCCGCCAGAGGCCCCTGCTGCGAGCCTACCCTCCCACACAGGCGGAGAGTAGTCAGGCGGCCACAGCAGCGTCACGGCGATCGCTTATTAAAAACTCGTCAGGTTCTCTTAGAGGTTCGAATCAGGCATTTCCTTAACCCCCTACCCCGGTGCTTCTCATTCACGACCCCGCGTCGGCTGTCCGCGAAGCCCCAGCGCCTCCACTTCTAGCCCCGCCTCCCTCCCCGAACTGACCCAATCAAATGCCGCCTTGCTTGAGTCCCCCCCCCCCGCGCGTCGAGGAACCCAACCGTAAATCGATCCAAAGGGGCGCTAGGCGGCTGCTCTTCGGACCAATGAACGCCGCTGTCGGGGGAAGGATGGGGGTGGAGCCTCTGGTTGCCCGGCAGCGTGCGTCAAGGCGTGCGCGTGGTGGCCGAGGGGGGAGGGGAGGGGGCGGGGCGAGGGCGGCGCAGCCGCAGCCGCAGCGCTCGCTGCTCGAGGGGCGCGCGGCCGAGAGCGGCCGAGGGAGGGAAGGGAGGAAGCGAGGGGAGAGGGCGTGCGGCCGCAGGGTCCCGAAGCCAGGCGGCGGCGGGAGGGCGCCAGGGCCGTCGGGTGGGCTGAGGAGAGGCGTGCGCCGGGCGGCCGGCGCTGGCTCCCGCGTGCGGGCGGGCGGGCGTGCGGGAGACCGAGCGGAGGAGGGGTCGCTGCGGCGCGGCAGTCCGCGCAGCTCCCGGGTCGGGGTCTGCTCCCGGCGCCTCGGTCGCCCGCGGGGCCCCGCTCCCCGCCCCCCGCGGCATGTCTTGATCTCGAGCAGCGGGTTTCATGGGGCTCCTCAGGATTATGATGCCGCCCAAGTTGCAGCTGCTGGCGGTGGTGGCCTTCGCCGTGGCCATGCTCTTCTTGGAGAACCAGATCCAGAAGCTGGAGGAGTCCCGGGCGAAGCTAGGTGAGGCAGCCGAGCGGTGCGCCGGGGCCGGGCCGGGCTGGCGGGTGGGCACTGCCGGCGTTAGCAAGGGGGCGTCCGCGGGGGTCTCGGGAGTCCCGGGAGCGGGGACCCAGGCACGCCAGCGGGGAGGGAAGCTGGAGTGCGAGCTGCACGCGCGGGGTCTCCGGCCATCCGCTGCCCCGTCGGCCTCCGCGGACGCGGGGGACCCAAGCCTGCACGGAGGAGCCGGTGCTGCTGGAGGACACGGGCGCCCATCCTCTCGTCTCTTCCGAGGCGTTCTGGAAAGCTCCAGCTGTGCGCGGCGGTGGGGACTGGGATCCGAATGAGGGGCGCCTGGGCACGGGCTCGTTTGGCGGTGGTGGTCGCGGGGAGGTTCGTCGAGGGCATTGGGCAGAAGTGCAGAGACTCCGGGGTTGATGGGGAGCAAGGGCGGCTCACTGTAGTGAGCGAGTGGCGTGCCGGAGCGGAGGGCAGCACGGGACCCCAGGACTGGCAGCGCAGAGGCTGGCCGTGTGGGACAGCGGAGCGGGCGGAAAGCTCCGACGGCACCGACACGACACGACACGTCCTGGGCACTGAAGTTCTTTCTGAGTAAGGTGATTTGATTGCATGTACAAGAAGGGAGCGTTGAAGGTTCGGAATTACAGTGCTCACCTTGTGAAAGGAATGGAGCTGGGGAAGGCTAACCATATGGGTACCCTGAAGCGTTTCTGTCAGCGCTGGAGTGGGTAAAGATGCTCGAAACACTAAACTGGGGCGTGAGGCTGTGGCGGATAGTCGGTGCTTCCGGATAGTGGAGAGCTTCGGGATGTGGAAGAGCTCTGGAAGAAGGGAGACTTAATGACTGACGCTTTTTAATTTAAGAGTGTTCGTGGCACTTAGAAATCAGCTTCGGGGATGTAATTTGGAAATGGGAAGCGGTTTTTGCGTACACGTTCACCTAGTCAGCTTCTTAAATACGATTTAAAGTTACCCCGAGGAACAGCTAGCTGTAACTGGGGAGTGTGAGTTAATTTTTAAGAAAAGCAGCAGAAAGTAATTTAAATTTTACATACAGTCTCTGTTTCCAAGGTTTGGTAGATTTTACAAAAGCCTTGAACATATTTTAAAGAATGGTGTTATCGAAGAACGTTAAATACATTTGATTGGATACACAGCTAAGTTTGAAAGAGGAGTCAAAGCTTCTAGAGTGAAAAGTGAAGAACTATTGAATGTATTTACAGTAATTTTTAAAAGGTTTTGTATGCTAAAAATACTTTAAATATTGAAGGCTAAACTGTAGACCTTTGCTTTTAATATGGCTTCGTTTCCACAGTATTTACAGTCATAGTCTGGCCTCATTCATGATTCAGTTTTACAGGAAGAAAGTGACTCATCTTGCAATAAGTTTAAAAAGTTAGTTAAAATCAGATTTTGTATTATACTTTTGTATTGTTATTTGGAATTCTCTAGTTATAATTTCTAGGAAGCACTGCAGATTTTCTTCCTTGCCTAACATTTTTTTTTTCCTGTAGTATTTGGAAGATGTACCTATACGCCACCTGAATGATTTTACATGCAAACTTACCTGACGTTGTATAATGCCACAGATAGGATAATACACTTCTTCATGATTTTCATTTGAGAAAAAAAAAAAAAAATCCTCTGCCAGGATTAGTAAGTGTGCATCAAATAATAGCTCTACGGGAAACAGCAAATATGTACCACAATGAGTAATTCTGAGAAATGCCTGCAATTCCAACACTCTAAAAGCTAATGCCAGAGGATGGTAGGTTCAAGACCAGGGTGTGCTGCTACATAGCACTACTATGTTGTTGGTTTTTTTTTTTTTTTTTTCAAGGACAGCTCTCAATTGTAAGAACACCTGAGTAGTTGGAGATGCATACGTGACAAAGAAAATGTGTTCCTTAATGTCTGCTCATTAATGTTCTGATTAGATGTCTTTCTAAGTATTTTTATTTTTAAAAGACACAGGTGTCTTGAGTTGCCCAGGCTGGACCTGAACTCCTGGCCTCTTACTTCCTCACCTTGAAGAGTTACTGTAGATGCACACTCCACTTTGCCTCCTTCCCACTACCTCTCACCCTTTAAAAAAAAAAAAAGTCTTGTTTAAAAGGCAGTACTCAGAGAGACTGCCCATTGTTCTGACTCCTTAGGAAGGAAAGACAAAAGGACGTGGCAGTCACTAGATAACTTTCATCCTGTGATATTCTTGGTTTTCCAAGAACAGCAGAGAGATCAATTTTCCAGATACACAATAATCCTAAAATTATATAATTTGTTCAAGACTGTCTCTTAGTGGCAGAGTCAGAATTGGAGCTCAGGTATGTTTGATTCCTAAATAAGAACTCCTGTAATTACACCAGGCAATTCCAGACTCTCTGGACATTATACTTCAATTGCGCTGTTTGAGTAGCATTTATAAATTGTATTATCAATGCATGTTTTGCTGAGAATGAACATCATTCTGAGAAAACGCAATTTCTGACACAAAGGAATTGGTTTAATGTCTTGCCCCTTGTTTATATCCATGTAATGAACATAATTATATTACTCAATGAAATGGACTGAAATAGCTTGTTTCTGCTATTGAAGAAGAAAATCTTTGGTTGTTTGCTGTAATTGTAAAACTGCAACATTAAAAAGCATTTTTACTTTGGCACAAGAAAGCTAATAAACATTTTGCCCTTAAAAGTAGTTTTTATTGTTTATTTTTGTTGTAGAAGATTCCAAAGGATTGTAATGTCTGTTAATGACTATAATGTGACTTGGTTAAAGTCAACAATATCCTATGATGGGATCTGTAATAAAGCAATAGATATATTAAAAAAATATGGTATAGTCACTGGCCTATTGGGAAATTATCTAAATAAAAATCCCTAAAGCTCTCAATATTATAGTTTTCTACTTTATAGGTTATTTTTTTTTCCTTAAAAAAGATATTCCTACACCTTATTGTTATATGTTATCCCACAGCTTGCTTTTTACTTAATGCTATAAACCTCTTTCCATGTCAGGATGTCTAAATCTGACATATTCTAATGACTATATAATAAATTATGCATATATCCTAAATAACTATGTCAGTAGTAGGTAGTTTTTGTGCCTCCACAACCTCCTCCACTTGTAAGGCTTCTTTTCTTGTTATTACAAGCAGTGTTGGAGCATCTTCACATGCTTCTCTTTACACTCTAATGTCATTTCTTCACTGGGGGGGATGTCTGGGTCAAAGGATACGTGTTACTTGTCAACTTTTACTCCCGGTGGTTATAGTAATCTGTATCACCAGAGACACAAGTGCTAGAAATGCTCAGGGTTACCCTTTGCCACTCTGAGGCTGTGAAAAGATATGCTGTTAACTCACATTTAACTTTCTGTTACAGTCTTACTGGTTTTTACTTGTTAGTTCTTCTTTATTGGGATAATTTGCTACTTTTTCATTATTTGGGTTTTTAAATATTAAGGTAAATATTTTGTTCTTATATCTTCTTTCCTCTAAGTCTGCATTTGTCTCAGTTGTGGTGTATTTTGCTTACACAGAAAGGTTAATTTTACACAGACTTTGTCAATTTAGGCAAGTAGTTTTCATGTTGACTTTACTGAATCAAGATGGTGGGTATTCTCTGTACTTAAGTAGAATAGTTTCTAGTTTTTATTTTTCATTTGCCTTTTAAGCCATTTATTTGTGTGTAAAGATTTATTATAATGTCTTCTGATGAATAACTATGTATGGCAAATATAGTAAATAATTTGTTTTCCCATGTAAATCCTGCTATTCATATGCTATTCATATTTTGTGTTCTCTTAGCCCAGTTGGTTTTATACTCCAGTCTTTTTCACTTGAAATTCATTAGACTTCGAGAACATATTCATACATATACATACATCAAGATGTCTGAATTTAGTAAACTGCCTATGTAGCTCTATCAGATTTACAAAGGATGATAGAGTTCCCTGAACTGGTTAAAAATAAAATCACAAATATTTGATACAGTTTGAGCAACCTTAGTCAGAACTTCTGAAAACCATGTGCTTCCGGATCAAACTCTTGAGACCTGTTATGCTACAGCCAATAACACTTTACACAGTGTGGGTTACTGTCTGGCCCAGCCGACTAGTCTAGTTCATACCTGAAAAGGGGAGTGTGGATTGAGCAAGAAACAGACTAAAGACAAGACAGATTCAGGAGGCCATCCACGAGTACTGTGATCCACTTCAAGCTTATTGCTCAAACTTCCTATGTACTACAATTGAAAAGGGAGAAAGCAAAAGACTTCCTTACGAAGGAACAAACAGCCTCAATTACCCCTTTAATTACTCAAAACACCAAGTAGCTTCACCTTGAACTAAGTATTCTGTTGTGCAGGCAAGACATCCTGTTGTTTCACCTTAATAAAGCAGGAGTAGGTTTAAACTATCTGACCTTAAGTCAAGATGGAATGGAGTCAATTCTATGGGTTCTCACAGGTTACTTTCCAAATGCAGGCACACTGGACACTGAAGCTCAGCTTCAGGTTGACGTAAGGCACATAAGAAACTACTGAATTTTCTGTTGAGACTTGGGTTCTACCTCTAAGACACTTCTGTAAACATTCCCAAGTCTGAGAGTAGCCTGACATATAAAAAAAACAATCACTTCTTTCTTGGTAGACTCATTTATTTCTGCTGTACTGAGACAGGCAAGCCAAGTGTAGAATCTTGTATATGCAAGAACACTCAGCATTATTTATTGCCGGGGAAATACAAAATGAGACATTATTCTACATAACTTAGAGTGGCTGTTACCGGAAAGTTGGAAGACAACAAGTGTTGGACAAATGTGGAGAAAGGGAAACCCTTTACACTGGTGATAGGAATGTAAATTAATATAGCCAGCATGGAAAATGGGATAGAGGTTCATCAAAAACTAAAATGAGAATTGCCTCATAATCCAGCAGTTCCATTACTGGCTCTAGGTTCCTAGAAAATGAAATCAGTATGTCAAAAAGATTTCTGCACCA